AAGAGGCCAAATTGCAGCCCTCTTGAGCTTACTTTACCTTCCCCACAGACATCCTATACAGCACTGAGATGACATGATCCCCTCAAATGGACATACGGAGACATTTCACACTATGCTTCTGAAAGAATCCACACAGCAAGCAGAGAATAGGGAGAACGGCTGAGGCACTCTTAAGCCACTTTTGTAATCCTGAGCTATTCTAGAATTGGGGGTGGACCTTGTATAAATCAAAATAGCGATGAGGACACCTGTATTACAGGTCTGTTCCTTTTTACTGACATTAAAGAGGAAAATAAAGGTCATTCTATACCAACTGAATGGGGGAAAAAAATAGTATTTTTATCTTACCAATTTATGCAAATATGCATTTAATGTACATTCAGACTATTTTCAGTATGAAATTTGAAATGAAAATATACATGCTTGCAGTAATCTTCCTCCTGCATATAATCCTCTTACCAACGCATTGAAAAGTTTAATAGGTATCTTTCCTTCCAGATAACATAAACAAAAGGGGATGGAAAGGGGAAATGGCAAGGAAGCTCAACTCCTAGTGATGGAAGTGTCATCTAGATACAAAACCATGGTCAAGCATTCCAAGACTTCAGAAGCACTTAAAAAGGGAAACTTTAAATGTTTGTCCTCATTGTTACAACATCATACAACCCCTAAACTATCATAACTTTTTTTAAAGTGGATGAGTTAGTCTAAACCAATCTGGCAATATCTCTTTAATATCCTGATAAATTCTGCATTACTAGTTCTGTGCTAATTGCATAAAGCGAAGATGCCCAGATGACTGTATGCCTTAAAGATATCTGAGAAGATAATTTAAGGACAGAACTCAAATAAGCACAACAGAGGAAATCAGCTGACACCAGTAACTGCAAGTGATCTTTTACCCTTTTCCATACGTTTGCTGTACTGTATAAGTGAGTTGCTTATTTGTCACTGATGAGAAACACAGACAAAATGCACACCATTTTTAACCACTTGCTGTATATTTATGCTTTGTATCTTCCTGTCTTTGCAAGGTTTTCATCAACAAAGAGAGCAGCCTGCTCTTCTATGGTAGACTATACTTTATCACACTTTTAGGAACTATTACTGGTAAATACAATTAATATGCAACTCTGAAGCACAACAGTAAGCCAATCTGTAGGCCTGAAGAGAAATAAAACATACTTACACAGTCTCATAATTATTATTATTATTACTATGCAGATCCAAGACAATAATTTTAAGTGTATGAGAAATGTAGTCTTTCCTTTGTACAGTAAACAGGCTAGACTAACTGCTGCGTCGAATGTTAGAACACACTGCATGATTTTTGCATAGGATTTTGAAGGTTTTTTAAGTCCTGGTCCCTTTACCAGGTGAAAGTTCAAATTGCAAATCTAGATATTTCTTTCAGTCTTTTGCTCAAGTACTATCATCCAACTCGATCCAAAACGGTATCTAATCTCTAAGACACAGGATATAGATTTAGCTAAATAGGAAAGGATTTATTACATAAAAAACATCTTCTGTTCCAAGTAACAAAACTGGACAATGAATGAAAGCTGTTTCTTGAGGCCTGGAATTTGAAGCTTGGCAAATCACAGGCTGTCACCAACTAGTTCCTCATGGTTTACTTCAAACGTCCAAGAAAGCCCTGAGAAAGTGCTTTGTCTGAAACAGAGCTTTTATAGCTCTGTATCTATCAGGATATCCAGACCTTTTAATATTAAGAACATGAATGTACTAGAGTGGTGCAGAAGCAGAACTACTGCACTCTCACTCAGAATATTTTGATCCCACATTTGGTTGAAGATATTAGAAGCACTAATTTTTTTGTCTTTAGAGCACTCAGTAACCTCAAGAGTATTTAACCCTCTTGCACAATCGATGTCCTGGGCATACATCCATACAAAACTACAACTATGTGGACTGACAGGAGGACTGATACTATAGCCCTCTGCTCGGGGGACATCTCAAGACAGCAATAAATTATATTGTAAGCACACAAACTATTTTGTCTAGCAATATGTCAAACAGAACTTCATATACAAGGAGTATCATCAAGGTTAATTGTGTGACATTTCTGTGGTTAGTTTGGTTGAAACATTCTTACAAAAAAAATTAAAAGTTGGTAATAAAAAGATCTGTCAAAAATGGGAGACATCCTTTTGCAAAGACAGGTGGAGGAAAGACTGCAGTATGTTGCGATTTAGATACCAACCTGATCACTACCATAATTACAAAGTATAACTACAGTCTGTGATAATAATGTCAATGACAAAAACATTCTTGGTGCAAAGAGAAATTAGTTACTATAGCAGACTTGAAAAATCTGTTTTTCCCCTTTATGCAATTCTCTGAAAGCCTTGCAGTGGTTGACAGATAATTCAGCTTATTAAATGTATGCATGTAGAATACCTGGAATCAAATCATGCCAGCTAGATACAGATGAAGTTCTCTTTTTTTCTTTTTAGAATGCAGATGGTGTATTTGTGTTAACAAACTACAAGAAACTAATCTAGCTGCACTATTCAGTCCCAACTGCGCAATTCTTAAACAACAAAAGTCAGGAGATTTTTTCCCACCACCAATAACATTACCATATATTTCAGTGTTCATGGAGATACACACACACACACACACACACACTGTTTCTACCCCACAGGTATTCCACAGAGGTCTTACATTTATTACCAATGAAGATGAAGCATCCCAAGCAGTCTGAAATAAAATGCTTTCATATTGGCAGTAACATCCAGTCTTGTATAGACCTGGAAAAAAAACCTATATTTCTGCTTCAAACTACTAAATATGTACCCATCTTCTTTATTAAGTGATGAAGAATCTGTATTGTAGTACAACATTGCGCTTCAGCCCTGTAATTTATAGTCTAATATATGTCATTGACATGTCATGAATATAAGCAAAAATAACAGGATCTTTGGGAAGAGGGACCAGAATGACAATTAAGATGTGAAAACTTATCAGAAGTTATTTCTACCTTCTTTTTTCAATCTCTTAACATAGAAAAATACTGTTGCAGTTTTTGTGATTGTAAACATACAATGCAAACATTTCATAACCGGCTCAGCCTACACAGTGAGACAGAAGAGCACAAATTGGCTGTATAAAGATTGCCAGCAAAGGATTCAGCATGTAAATCACTCAAACTTCTCTCACTCCTTTAATCACTATAGAAATAGTAAGATTTTGTTATAGCTCTGCTTCAGAGACAGCCAGAAGAAACCTAAGTATGAGCAGTTATACCATAACTTGCGCATGGAAGAAAACTTTGTCTTTAATCTCAGAAACCAACAAATAGGTTTGATGAAGACCACTTCATGTTCACATTCCACCTTGCAAGCTGAAAGAACAGTTGAATGACTGCATTTATAATCTTCCAGAAGATTTAAAAATAGTTAGCCCCGGAATTCCACAATACCTTTTATCCAAAACTTTTAAATAATAATCTGTAAGTGGCTAATTTACAAATTAACTGATCTGTATCCCATGAAGGACTGGAGATGTTTAAAAATAAACCTGCCCTGTGCTGAAATGGAATCATTCAATTTCTCCTCATAAGAATAACACTGTAAATGTTTTCTCCTATATAAAGCACAACAACAGCTCAACAGTGGGTAGCAGCAGTAGGACACTCCAAGGCAAAAGGAGTACAACTTCTAGTTAAAGCTGCATGAAAAATTTAGGTGGACAGAAAGTAACTACCAAATTGGAAATTGTTCAGGACATGAGAATTAATACTTATTCTCTGTGAAGACTGCCAAGGAATCTTTCCTGTGCTCATGCACCTGGGACTTCAGGCAATGCAATGATCACCATCCGCAGCATACTACGCTGTGGTGTAGCAAAGGAAACACTAGCACCTGATTCACAGTCAACTCTTTTTCTTGCAATGGATGCTCCATGGAGTCAATTTCTCTTTCAAATAGGGACCCAGTCGGCTCTAGCACTTCCTGAGAGATCCTTCAGACTCAGACGATAAAGAGTATGACTGCAGGCCAGAGTAGAAGTGAACATGGAAAATATAAAAGCATTCTCTTGCAATGTTGATAGTTTATGCTGAATCAAAGAACTGATTTAAATGTTAACCTCTACTGAATCTTTCATAAAAATAAAATAACACAAATAATCATTACCAAAAATTGGCTCTGGAATATTGTTCCATGTACAGCTGCTCATCGGAAAAAGGAGCCAAATGAATGTCACTGTATGTTGGGAACATCATTCCTAGTAAACAGAAGACAATATAAGGTAGAAAGGCAAGTGTTCAAGAAGTGTTTGGATAATGCTTTTAAATACACAGTTTAATGTTAAGATTGCCCTGTGTGGAGTAAGGAGTTGGACTTGATGATCATGGTGAGTCCCTTCCAACTCAGGATATTCTGTGATTCTATAGTCCCACAGACATCTCTACAGGAATGTCTTCACTAGCGAGAAACCACCAGTTCAGAAGCAGCAATTGTCATACATGTCAGATATCTTAACGTTTAGTTTCATTAATATATGGGTTACTGAAATGTGAATATGCTAAAGCAGTTAGTAAAAAACCTAACCCAGAACAACTTAAAGAACAGACCACAATACTTCATAAAGTCCTAGTAATTTTATGGTCCTATATCAAATATTTGAATTATTTAGCTTCCTTCAAATGAAGTGAAATGCTAGCTATTAAATACCTTCTCAACACTCTCCAGTGGCATTATAGCACCCTCTTTGCTTACAGATAACATAATAAATAAAACATCTGTGTGAAGGATTTGCATCAAAGCTCAGACTCGATCTTGAATTAAACTGCTGGGTATGGTTTTGGTCAAATTTGGAAGAACTGTTGTTAATGAATGAAGTAGTTGTATGCACTTCACTCTTAAGACTTTTATCCAGGAAATTCATAGCACTTCAGAGTAAATACTGAAAATTTTACAAACACAAAAATGTATGTTACACTTTTTTTTTTTTTTTTTACAGATGCTGAAGTTGAGAAACAGAATTTTATTTGCATGAAATGGCAAATCAGTGACAGAGCAGGGAATGAAATTCTTATCTACTAGTTTGCAAGAATGCATTTTCATTAGGATCTCCCACTCCAATGGTTCAAGAAAGCAGAGGAATTACCTTCCATTATTTTCTGTGGACAGTGCATCAGATTGCCTAGCAGCTTAAATGAAAGCCCTTGTATTCTGTTGTGCATGCGTCAATGGAAGCAGGAAACAAAGCCTGGTCATTTTGAGCTACACCTGAGCATACTTATTCACCCTTTTTTAATCTGGTATAAAACACAATGCATAGTTGAAGGGGAGGACAAGTAAAGGAGGGGAGGGAAAAGGAAACAGCTTTCCTTTTCGAAGTACATCATGTAGTAAGTGTCCAAAGGAATTTAAATAAAGAACAACACCCATTCACAAAATAGACATGCTTTTTAAAACTGGCTGTAGGGAGAATATTAACAAGTTTGCAGAGAATTTGGGACAGAAAGTTTCCAGACTTAATTGGTACTAAATATTAGCAACTTACTCAAAATGTCACAATTTCAGCTCACTTCTTAGACAATCAAGTTTAATAATCACCACGTAAGCTGATTCATCCCCACTGTACAAATGAGCAATTAGAAAGTTAGGCATGTAACTTTAAAAGCATTCACTCATTTAAAACTGAAAATGAGCTGCCTGTTAGTCAGTTTTCAAAAGCCCTCCTCTGAAACTGGGCCCTAAAAATATAAACAGGAGGCTTAAGATCAGTGGCTGACTTGAAAAATACTACCTATATGTGCTTTGCAAGTTTGAAACAACTCAACAGCAAAGTCATTAGCTCCCTGCATTGAGGCACAGATTCAGCCCATGCTTCAAAAACTTCCATGCCGCAGTAATTTTACTTGAGAAAGGTCTCTTTTAAAGAAGTCTTTTAAAGAGATACTTCATAGTTCATTTTCAGCAGTTCATGTAGAAAGATTTATCATTCAGCAATTGGATGCTCAGATTTGCCTCTCAAAGAAGATTCCCATGAGACCCTGGCACTTACAGATTCCCTTCAAAACTCCTCCAAACACAGGAGGGATGAAATACAGAGCTCTGAACACTGTGAATTTCTCATGTCACTCAAAAGGCAACATCCAAGTATTAGAATAATGTATTTGGGAGAAGCCCAATGAAAGGATGTCAAAACAATTTGAACTTCACCGTTTCCCCAAAGACAATATATTAGAGTTTTTCCACAAAAACAAGCTTATCCTATTTGACCATTCTGTTCTCATCTATATTCCACTGTCTGGCAGTTGAGGCTAGTGTGCCATCATCTATTGTAGTATGTTGCAACAGAGATGCAATCATAGTGTATATAACAGCAGGTTAAGATTAAAACACAGAACTCAGCAGTGCAACAGCAGCTTACTCAAAAGCTATTTCCACTGTGAAACAGCAAGAAGTCACAGCATAGTACAATAGCAATGGTGGTTGCATCATCATATTAATTCCCCGGGCCCCCTAGATGTTGGTGGTAGAGCTAGAATGAGGGTATAAAACCAGACGATCCTGGCCTACCAGTTTAAGTCTTTTTTTCTTCTTTCAGAACCTTTTTATCTTCCTTTTTGTATGCAGGGGGTAACTGTGGTGACACACTCACCATTTGACTTCAACCATTTTTTGGAATGGAGGTAACTTTCCAACATCCTTTCATTGAACAGCATATAACCCATCGGTTCAGAAATTACCACATCAACACTCTCAGGCAGGGAGATCTCCTCAATTTTTCCAAACAGAACTGTGATCTTGTCAGAAAGGTTGTTACTTCTCACCAACAGCTGGAGGAAAAACAAAAGCACACAGAAAGTGTTGACTCCTTTGATTAGCAGAATTTGTAGCAGAGATCTTTAATTAGCATTAAACCCCCTATAGTGTAAACCAACTACCTCAGTCTGTTAATCAGAATAAAATAGAAAGGTAACATATTTTTCTTTGCTACACCAAAACTTCTAAAGACTGGGACTCACTGGAGCAAACTCAAAAAAATTCATTGTGTGGAATCAGCAAGTGACAGTACAAGTACTGTTGTCCTGTAAGAGATAACTGTAATCAATACCCACAAGAAAAAATACCTACCAGGAAAAGGTGGATATTTTAATTCAATACAGAAGATTACAAAGAAAGGGTTTTCATAATTCTCCAAATTTTTAAAAATATTGTTCTGGCGTGAGTTGCATAATCATGAAAGGATGAAGCAACTCAAGAGCTGAAAAGTTTGTGGTAATTTCTAAGCATAAATGAAGCATAGCACTGTATTCACATAAATGCATTCAAATGGGCCAGTACTTAGAGCCAGGTTACTAGAGATTTATCCACTTCTATGTGCATAGTGAACCTCGGAGAAAAACGTTTAATGAACAGAAGAAATGGACATAAAATTTTATGTTCAATAAAGCATGTTATTAAGGAAAAGAACAACCTTTTCAAGGCCTCTATATATCTACATACAGATGCGTATCCTATTTTCAGTTTAAAACCATTGCTCTTTTTCCTGTCACTACAGGTCCTGATAAAAAGTCTGTCCCCATCTTTCTTCTAAGCCCCCTTTAAGTATTGAAAGGCCACTATAAGGTCTCTCCAGAGCCTTTTCTTCTCCAGGCTGAACAATCCCAACTCTCTCAGCCTTTCCACAGGAGAGGTGTTCCAGACCTCTGGTCATTTTTGTGGCCCTCCTCTGGAACCGCTCCAACAGGTCCATGTCTTTCTTGTACTGGGGACTCCCGAGCTGGATGCAGTACTCCAGGTGGGGTTTCACGAGAGCCGAGTAGAGGGACGGAATCACCTCCCTCGACCTGCTGGCCACGCTTCTTTGTATGCAGCTCAGGATACGGTTGGCTTTCTGGGCTGCAAGCGCACATTGTCCAATTTTTCATCCACCGGTATCCTCAAGTCCTTCTCCGCAGGGTAGCTCTCAATCCCTTCATCCCCCAGCCTGCACTGATACTGAGGATTGCCCCAACCCTGGTGCAGGACCTTGCACTTGGCCTTGTTGAATCTCATGAGGTTCTCATAGGCCCACTCCTCAACCCTGTCAAGGTGTCTCTGGATGGCATCCCTTCTCTCAAGCCTATCAGCTGCACCACTCAGCTTGGCGTCATCTGCAAACTTGCTGAGGGTGCACTCGATCCCACTGTCTATGTCATTGGTGAAGATATTAAACGGTACTGGTCCCAGTACACCCAACTACACACAGAACACAGTGACACAGACATGAGATATTCTCCAGCAAATATCTAAAATATCTATATTTTATGCATTTTCCCTCCAACACAGTTTTCAGATATTCTACCATTGCACATCTGTACACAGTACACAGTTTTCAACACTTTCAAATAGTCATCTGATTTCTGCTAACTGCACTGTAGTGCTAAATTTTTAATATCATTCTTCCAAAATAAGCCTCCAACCACAAAGAGGAATTTACTGTAAACCCAAAAAATCTCTCAGTAAAAAGTATTACAGCATTAATTCACATTGTTCAAATATAATTTCCCTTCAGTCAGTAGTTCATTGTATTGGTTTCAAGTATTTTGATTTAAAATAGAAAAAATGAAAAAAAGAAAATGAAAAAGAAACAAGACTCACTAATCTCACATTCAACATTATTACATTACATATGATCTGAAACAGATGAAAAATGTAATAAATCCATACAGAAATGAGAGGAGAAATGGATGGAAAGTAATGCTTTTCTCATAATCCAGATACTTGATAAACCATACTAATGAAATCCCATTGTGGAATATTAAGAAATGACAAATAGTATACCTAAGGCTAAACATCTTTACACTGAATAAACTTAAATTCTTAAAACATATTATATGTTAATAGATCAGCTGATCTGCAATACAGTTCACGAGTGAACAAGTTTTCACAGGAAATTATGACTATAGAAATCTATCATATTTCTTACGAAAACTGAGTCCCATTTGGGGAATTGGAAGGAGAAGGAAATGACCAAAAATCTATGAATTATCAAACTGAGACTCTGACATTTTAGCCAGTATTCCCCAGTATCTACAGCTGCTTAAGGTTCTTTACTTCTCTTTATCAATCAAAGGTTCTTTACTCCTCTTTATCATAGTTTTAAGCAGTTTAGCATTTCATCCACCCTAGGAGAAAAGCAATTAAATTTCTAAAATCAATGCATTAATGCTATTTCTCTACCAATAAGTTGCCAGACATCTTACTCACATTGCATCAAAAAATACACAATATTTGATACACTACAGATGCAGCATGTGCAGTTTCACAACTAGTGATTTTGCTTACTTCTGACAGGAGTCAAGTTCAAAGCTGTGACCAAAAACATATACATTATACTCACTACTACACACTATACTACTACTAGGAAGAGCAAGTTCTCTTTTGCTCTTTTTATCATGCTTTCATAAGTAAAACTTCTGTCTATCATGAAACAAAGATATTGTACAAAATCATATCTGTTTACAAAATCCTGTGTGAAATAAGGACCACCCTCCACCCTTCCCTCTAAGAGATACCTTCCATATATTAACATTTTTAATGCTTTTGATAGGTCTGACAAAATGACAGACATCAGAAAAAAGTTCCCTTTAATTACAAAGAATCTTTCTAATTATTCAAATTATAATAAGGAAATAGAAATGTTCTTTCAGTACATACATGCTCAGTTAGGTTAGTACATCCTTACCAATTCTAAAAGTAACACACACATAATAAGGAAACATCTGTCAATAGCAACACAAATAAGGCAGAAGTAGAAAATGATTGTATGAAAAAACACTTTTCCTCAATACATAAGTTAATGCAAAATGTATATGGGGAGATTATGGAGTCCTGTATTTAAGCTGGAATGAAAAATACAAAGAATTTATACATTACTAATGACTTATTTCTGGAGAGAAATAAAAATGTCTGATATCCACATTTTCTTCTTTAAGACCTAAACAGATTATCTCAATTTCCAACAGCCATGCATTTCCTTCACAATGTTACAGTTGACAATTGGTGTTTGCCAGCCTTCACCAAGACCAAGGCTGGATTGCTGCATCAGGACACACAGGAGGAACTTTCACTGAACTGCTGCATGCTCTTTGTGTGGAATTAGAGGAACTATGGACTCCTAATGTTGCTCATGAACATTCATACTGTAGATCAGTAAAGCAGAAAGAAAAATTAACATCTAGATACTGCAACCTGTTTCTAGGTATGTGAAAAAAAATCCTCCACTTCACCACTTTCCACCCTCTTCCACATTAAAACTATTTTTAAAACTCAGCTAGAGGTGATCAGTGTTGACAAAATTTGTAACAATAATGCTCACACTTCCCCCCACACATTCTTATGTTCACCTAAATAAGCAGAGACTGTGAGAAAAAACATGGAAATTTTTGCTGTTGCTGCTATTTAGGATTAGCACTTTTTAGGAAGTGAACTTCTCCTAAGGCATTTAGTTACCAATACCACTTTGAGTGCTTAATTCTTTTTAAAATCATGTTAGAATGCTTAGTAAAAACAATGCCTGAAAAATATCTTTTAAAACTAAATGCATTCTTCGGACATGTCCTTTTTAAACCCTAAGAACACAGTTTCATAAGAAGGTTGAAAGACCGAACTTACCACACTTAGCAGGAAACTAACTCAATTGTCTGATCACATAGATGTCCAAGAGTCTTAAGAAAAAAACACCTGAATGTTTTTGCACAGAACCAATGAAAACAACATCTAGTTTATTTTTTTTTCCTTCTGAAAGTAAAAAATTTTATCACAGTTATGACTGTTCACCGTTTTCCACACAAACAACAATCATATGGTTTATTTGACACATTAGAACATTTAGAACACCTTCAAAAACTACCTTCCAAAAAGTGTTGCCTATTAGAGACCTGACTTCTTAGAAAAATCACTCTGAAGCCTTCAGCATTAGCCTTTTTGAGGCACAGTTCTTAATCTCTTAACTTTTTCAGTCTACACCATTCTAACACTTGGCTCAGGTGAAAAACACTTACCTCCGCATATTTTGCCATTGAACTGGCTTCAACTGCATAGACTTTTCTAGCTCCAGCCTGCACTGCAAAAAATGAAAGGATTCCTGATCCGCAGCCAACATCTAGGACCACCTTGAAAACAGAAGGCAGATCAAAAGAAACAAAATAATCAAAAAGTCACTTCCTGATACCTCTTTTAAGTAACTGAATTTTCATAGCTATACCCTGCATTTAGTAAGCCTGGCATTATGCAAAAATATTACTAATTTCACTTGAAAAAGTGAAAACACTTGTTAGTGAAGAGTTTTAATGCGCTTAATCTTTATTTTAGCAGCAATAGCATATTTTTAAAAGACCGTAGATTATTTTCATGTGTAAATACATGGTTATGGTTTGGAGGAAATAGATTTTTGTAACTAAGTTTCTTTAGGAGAAAAATTTGAAAAACAAGCCTAGTCTGAATACACTGGGGAGGGAGGGAAGACATGACAACAATAATTCTCTGAAGGACTACAGAATCGTGTCTTTCTGAATGAAAAATCACTCTGTGATGTGAAGTATCTTGGATAAAACCGAAGTATGTATCTTTGTTCAAATATTGGTTCTGCTTGCTGACAGTATTAGACCTTTAATTGCACTGCTTGATGTGGTGTCTCTCAAGGGCCCTCAGTTAAACATAAATCCTAACGCCTCATTTTCTCCATCAATCAGGTGGCTCACTTGTTGCAAGCCAAAATGTTGACTGAACAAATGTTTCAAAGGGTCAAAATTCTTGTTTCAACACATAGTGTAATGCAAAGGCAGCAACTGCTGCAACAGTCCAGACAAGACTCTAGTTCCTAGTTTCATTCTCTTGTACAGGTCACCTAACACTGATGCAGAGGCGTAAGTACACAGAAAGAGAGGCTAACTGCTGGAGAAATGGTTAAGATGATGTGACTAATGTGATCTTTGATGCAAAGCTCACTTTTATACTGCCCAGCAGAATTAGGCTAATAGCAATACCTTGCTTCCCCAAAAATTTTAATACCAGCTTTGAGAAAAATTTCACAGAACAGCTCACTATTCGAGTTCCTCCTACGGGTTTGTACTTGACTGAAAACAAGGAGCGACAGTTTTCCTGTCCCTGTGACTGAAATGCTCATTAATTTTTGATCCAAGATACGAAATTCACAAGCCTGTTAGGTGATTCAAGCCACCTGGAACTGGAACCTCCTAAGATTTCAAAGCACTTCAATCATGAAACTGAGCTACAGCCCTGATTCAATCTCAAGAGTCAAGAGCAGAGAAGCTTAAATATAATATAGATTCAGAGTAATACTGCAGCTTAGTATACCACCAGCTATCCCTGTTCTTTATTGCTTCTTTGCCCCAAATTCCCATATGATACACACTGCTTACCAGCCTTTAAAAACACAATGAGAAATTTTTTTATATTCAAACAGAATAGTTTTGACAGAAAAATAATCTCTCAGAATGAAGGGCACATTCCACTCCCTAAAAGTTACTCTACATGACATTTAGGTTAAGTATTAAAGAATGCAGTCTAACACATGGCCTGAATCTGTTGTAGATAATATGAATCTGTGTTACAGAAGTACTCCACTGCAAAATAAATTAACATTGCTTCTGATATTGCACATAGTCTCAAGTTTGGTGTAGAAGCCAGAACCCTCCCTTTAATAATTTTCTTTCCTACTGAAAGATTTTATTAAGCTCATTTTTTATATCACAGATGACAGGCTGTTACAGATCCAGTTTTGTTTCTATGCTTTGGAAGGTGTTAGAATATGCTCCTATGCCCAGAAGAACCAGCTTTTCAGAACAGCAAGTGACAGTAAGTATTGGTTACATAAGTAGGGAGGGAGACAATGACAAGTCAAGGCCAATTTCATTGAACCATAGGTCTGACAGAAGGTTTGGTAGGCTATTTCTTAATACCCAATGGGAACCACAAATACAAATACAATAATGCTTTCTCTCTGCATATGTGGAAAGTATAAGGAAGAGTCAACTGCTCAAGTTCAACATAAAACATCCAATGGAGAAGTATGACTTTTTGCACCAGACCTAATTCTGATGCCATTTCTTACACTATACCTATGTCTATATCAGCAGGTGGTACAGCTGTATTGGAACATTTTTTTTTCTGGATTATTTATTAAGACTAACTCTAGTCTGATTTTTCTTCTAGCTTAGACCAGTTCAGTTTCATCCAAAATTAATCCAGCTTGCTTACTCTGAGACCACTCCACAATGTGAACTGAAGCACCCTGAGTGGCCATGATAGAAATTCACTTCAGAAGCTCACTCCTGACCCACATTAAGACTCTAATGAAGACACAAATGAGCACAGCACACTGAAAAAGCTGAAACAGAGGTAGCATTTGTCCAGTAATTAGTGAAGCAAGGGGAAAAGGGGCTCAGAAATCTTATGTGACACAGTGTGGGAATTACTAGAGGCTGCACAACAAGGCATAGGCATGCCCTGTAAGACTTGGTAGGTCAACAGCCCTTGGCACACCACAGACCTTGATCCAGGACAGAACTTGTAAGGGATGATGTTGCTGCATGCGTGCTGGGCTGCATGGAATGGCTGATGACTCTCCCTGAGGCTGGGATTGATGGTGACCTGTGGGGGAGATGGGCTCTGGCTGGGGAGAGCCACCAGGTATGAAGCAATGGGTGGAGAGCAGCAGACTGTGTACCACTGGGGAGGCTGAACAGGAGATAGTTAGGATCTTCACAGACACTTTTTAGAGGCAAAAGCCCTGAGTGTCAACACCTGGCTGTGCAGCTGGTATCAGACATAAATTCAGCTTTTATGAGCAGTACCTTCTTAAGGAATGAAGACTGCTGGGGAGAGACAGGATCATATAAAAAAGCAGGGCAAGAGTATCTTTGCCATCAATTTTCCAACCTAACAAGGAGGGCCGAAAAAACTACGTGCATGTCGTTGGAGGTCATCGTAGCCTGAAGAGAAGGCATGAGGGGAACTGTTCAAGAAGACAGCACAATGCACCCCTTGTAAAAGCAGCACAACAGGGGAGCCATCTGAGATACATATACACATGCACACATAGCACAGGAAACAAACATGAGGAATCTGAAGTCCATACATAAATGCACAGCTTTCATCTCATAGGGATTACAGAGACATGGTGGGATAGCTTGCACAGCTAATGCTGCGATGGATGGCTACAGGCTGTCAGAAAGGATAGGCTGGGAAGGTCAGGAGGAGGGGTTGTACTCTATGCAAAGAATGACTCAAGTGCTTGGAGCTTTGGGAATAGACAATGAGCTAGCTGAGAGCTTATGGGTAGGGATGAGAAGACACAGGGTAGGGATACAGATATTATTGAGGTAGGCATCTGTTATAGACCACTTGATCAAGAAGAGGAGGGAAACGATGCCTTCTGGAAGAAGCCTCATGATCATAGGCCTTATTACTTATCAGGAAATTCAACCATCCCAATTCCTACTGGAAGGGTGGTATGGTGGGGCACAACCAATCCAGGGGATTTCTGGAGTGTCTTGATAATTTCCTGATAGTAGTGATCAATAAGCTGAGCAGGGGAGATGTTCTACTCAATCTCCAGCTAACAAACATTCCCAGCCTCTAGTGAGGGGATGACTGCTAGAAAGCAGCTTTGTAATAAAGGAGACCTAAGGGTCCTACTGGAACAACAAGCTGAATACGAGTCAGCTCTTGCAGCCAAGAAGGCCAACTGCATACTGGGCTGTATTAGCAAGAGTGCAACCAGCAGAGGTCAGGGAAAAGCCATTTTTAAGATGACATTTGGGGAACTGTCCAGTTTTGATCTCCCCAGCACAAGACAGACACTGACATATTGCAGCAAGTCCCATGGAGGTCCACCAAGAAAATTAGGGGCTGGAGGACATAACATATGAAGAGAGGCTCGAGAGAAATCGGTTTCTCTAGTTTTAACAAGAGGAGGCAAGCTAACAGGAGAGCTTACTGCTGTCTTCATCTGCCCAATGGGAGTTCAGAGAAAACTGAGTCAGACACTTCTTGAAGGAGACACACAGTGATAGGACAAGAGGCAATGGACACAAATCATTACACAAGAAATTCCAACAGATATAGTAAAACTTTTTCACCGTGAGAGTTGTCAGACACTGGAACAGGTTGTCTACAGAGTCTGTGGCATCTCCATCTTTGGATCCATTCAAAATGTAACTGGAACAGACCTTAAGCAACCTGGTCTAGTTGGCCCTGCTTTCAGTAGAGGTTTGGACTAGAGATGTCCAGAGGTTCTTTCTGACCTAAATTACTTTAATCCCATGAACTTGCAATAGCACACCTTACTCCCCAAGTGGCATTGCTGTTACCACTGGCATCTCCTACAGAAAGCTTTGCTCCCGCTACATAGGAAGAGCATCCTAACAGAGCTGTAAGAGCAGTCATTACGACAAAGTGCTGTGAAATAACAATACATGGTACTAGTATGCTTCTTTCTGAAAAGTAAAATTTTAAAATAAATAATAGACAGATAGTTGGGTGGTGATGATGATGTCATGCATACTGAGAGGAAAGGTGGTAGATTGTATGTGCTTCAGTATTTATTTTGAAATGTGAATGCAGCTACTTCAGCAATTATCAGAAATCAGAGTCAGGAATAACCTATACCCTACCCTCCTGACCACTGTTCAGTACTGCTCCTGCTTTCAACTACACAGATTAATAGCTTTCCTAATGTGAATTTAATGGGAATTACTCACGTGTGCAAATATGCTTGTATGCTTGAGTACTTGCACAATTAGAGTCCTGAAAAGCACTTTTGAATAAAAGGGGTAGGCGGCAGAGGTCAAACAAGGAAGAGCAAGAACAGGGCGAACACATAAACCTAAAAGCAAAAATATCATATATCTACAATGACATTTATCATTCAAAATTACTATATATCAGCAAGATTATATATAGAAAATATTCCTCCTTTTTTTTTTTTTTAGCATGTGTCTGACTGCACAATGTGAATAGTTAATTTATGTGATCCTTCATCCAGGATCATTGGAGATGTTCTAATTCTAGTTGCTTTGCTTTTAAGTAAACTATTCATAAATAGACTACAAATAAAAAAAAATTCAAAAGGCTCAGAACCTAAGACTTATTTTCAAAAGAAGTAGAAATGTGTCAGCCTTTACTCAGTTTGAAACAGCATTAGACACTGATACTGTAAAATTTAGTTATGAGCATTTTTTTTTAGTATAACTAATTAAAACACTTGGAACTCCCCCTTTTGGCTCTATAACAATTCAAAATCTAAGACAAAGTTTTACTAAAAAAATTAGTGAAAGCTCTAAGGCGACTCCTTCTAAGAGAAATATAAAGGAATATATGCTGGTAAGAATTACCATATTAATGTGAAGAACCCAGCCTCAGATTCATTAGATTCTGAATGAGTTCTCCTTATTCTTTTAAGCTTCAGTAGACATAAATGGTCAGTCCAAGCACTACTGCCAGTTTGTCCTAAAGTAGCTTACCTCTAACAGACAGTGTTTGAATTTATCACCAAGAACCCTCTCAAAGGGTCCAGAATTAATTTTGTCCAGCATAACTCAGACAACCTGTTGCACTTTCTCATACAGATATTTTTTTCAAAATAAACAAAGGCTAGAATAAGAAAAAAAATATACTTTATCACTAGATATCCCTTCACTATAGGCAAAACATTTGTATAATAAATCACTACAGAATTTAGGGAAGGAGGCAACAAAGGTAAAGAAATGTATGTGGGGGATGCAGAGTAGGTAGGAAACAATAAGACAAATAGCAATTGAATAAAACTTTTTCCAATAATGGAGTTATTAAAATAATTACGTCTTTTTTGCTTTTTTTATCTCCTCACTGCCATCACTAAATGTTTCTGCCTGCGTTATAGTTTCTGGATGTAGGATAAATATAGTTGCCATATTTCCAACAGATCAAGTCTCAGCACAATGGGTTTCTCAGGTTCTCATGGGAAAGCATTTTGCCACAATGTAGGTAGTTCAATTTTTTCAGCTACATTTATTCTGAAAATTGCCATTTCTCAACAGAATCAGGAAAAAGAGAGATCATTTTCTAGGTGGGTGGCCAACAACACCCAGCCTGTAATAGTCTTACTGTTAGGTATGCTGAAGAGAAGCCAAGGCACCTCCAACAGTTGGGAAAATAAATAAACCAAGAGCAAAAGCAAGCAAGCTGTACTACTGCACAGCAGCAAGACTTCCTACAGAGGCAGAGAGTATGCAAAACCTGAATTCCTTACTGCAGGCACAAAAATGGAATGGATAGGTTACCCACAGAGATAAATCTGCCTTTTGCATTATAACATGGGAGCATCCTATTTGGAAAGAAGCCAATGGCAAATAAAATCCTCTCTCTGCTGTTTCTTTCACTATATATTCAAGTTACATATTCCAATACAAAATGTAATCAATTTTTTATATAGTAGCTCCACTTACCCAGCTGGTATCATCCAATACCACGTGCTTTGGGGTTTGATTCTGATGCCTATAGCAAACTGGAGCAGCCCTGTGTACACCACTAGTTTACTAACCTTACTGAATTAAATAGGAGAGGAAGATTGTCTCAGGCCTGAAAGAAATTACAGACTGAAACCTATTTGTTTCATTTCTATAAAGGTTTGTTTCACTTCTATGAAAGTAGATAGTTAAGTGTAGTTTTTAAAGAAGCACAGTTTACCTAAGTTGCATCACAAAGAAAAATTACCAGCTGCACTTGAATTTATCACTAAACTTAATTAATAGTTAAAACATAATGATCTTAAACAATTCAGATAAATTTCACACTTACAACTCTCCTCATTTTGACCATAAATATGCTACACATTTAAAGGGAAATGTTTTGTTCGGTATTTGCTTATATGTTATTAAAGACTCTTTTCTGTGATGTAGTAAAGCCATTTACGTTGGTGTGAGTTGAAGTCAGAGGCTCCTTTTAAAAGAAAGTGCACACAGGAAGATGAGAGAAAAGAAGGGAAAAGGAGAGAAGACAAAAAAAGGACAAGGTAAAAAAATAATAATTGCAGCTTCATTTTCTCTATTGTTTTTCTTTGCAGTCTGCTACCCAAACATCATAAACAGAGCTCACATGGTCTCAGCTGACATTCTGAGACCT